CAGCCGTTGGCGTTGTAGGTCACGAACACGAAGGGCTTACGCTTGCCTCGGCGAGCCGCCCTCTGGGAATGTAGAAATTGCAGCCGTCCTGGAACGTGCGCCGATGATGATCTCTCGCCTCTCATGCCACAAGTACCATTCGAGCTGTCAACGTCCAGCAAATCGGGTTGGGCGCCCAGTCCACTCGCTGATCTGCCGACTCCTGCGCCGACACTGCCCAGGGACTGGGTCGCCGCCCTGGCGACGAACGAACCTGGGCGAGGCCCAGGATTTTGAACTGGCGCTGCGGGTAGTTCAGACAACGCCAGGTCATCGAGGGAGACAACTTGATTGTTGAACAGCCGCGGCATGGGAAACCAATGAATATCGCTATCAGGCCTCGCTGTCCATGGACTCGTCCTCGGCCTGCTGCTGGTTGAGGAGATTGGTCCACGGGTGCTCTTGTCCATTCGTACTAGGGGTACCTGGAGCCGCTTGGGGAGGAGCACCTCCTGGAGGAGGAGCTTGCTGCGCATGCTGCACTTGTTGGGCTTGCTGCATCTGCTGCTGCCTCTGCTGCTGCGGCTGCTGCGGCGGCTGAGATGGCTGCTGCGAGGGGTCCTGCGACTGGACTGCACTCTGTAGCTGAGCCAACTGTTCTGTGAGCGTCTGCAGCATGGCCTGCGGGTTACCTGCCAACAACGCCGCAGGAGCTCCTGCCACCACCGTCTGAAGCCTCTCCACCGCGTCCTGCAGCGAAGGTGTCGATGTAGATCCCTGCGCTGTTGATGCCAGCACTGCAGTCCGAGCCAAGTTGACCTCGGCCTGGATGCTCTGCAGCTCGGTGGTGGCCTGGGCCAGGGAGGCCTTCTTTGCCTGCAGCTTCTCGTCCAGCTCAGAGACGGCCACTTTGAGCTCATCCACTTCTTTGGATGTCGCTGTGTGCCTATCGATGGACCGTCGTAGCATGTCGTCGGGGGTCCGAGTCTGCTGCTCTTTCTCCCCCGCCAACTGAAGATCTCGCTTGGCCTGCTGTGCAACTGCTGCATTGTCGGACAAGCCGAGCTTTCGCAGCGCCTGCAGGGCGCGGCGAGCCTGAGCGACTTCGTCGGCAGGACTAGCTGGTACGCCGCTGTCGCCATCCTTCTTGACTTTGCCACCTCCTGAGTCAGCTCGAGGCCGCGAGGCAGCACGTCGTGATGAAGGTCGCTGTCGTGGCACGAAATTCTGATCTGGAGCGCCACGGCGATCGCGACCGCACTGGTAGCACTTACAATTACTCGCATAATTGTCCTGGAAGCCGCGCTGCCTTGTCGCAAGGCAAGCCCACTTCGGCTCCTTCTGGACTGGTGGCCGCTTGCCCGACATAGCTCCCCCGCCGCCTGGGGATCCATGCATGAAAGGCTCCTGCGATCCGTGGTGATCGTCCAGCAATGCCCGCAGCTTCTCAACCTTCAAGAGACGCCTGGCAGTAGCACGAACACGGCGCCGTCGTCTATGCCAGGCAGGAGATCGAGACCTGCCTGCTGGTATGCTGTAACAGTATGTCGACTCGCGCCTGGGCAAGCGCGAGCCTGGGGCGGGCTGTGGTGCAAATCAGATTGTGAGGCAATCCAACACGCGACGCCAGGAAAAACCTCCGGCGCCTCAAGCCCACGCCTGGAGGAGGAGGAGGAGGAGGAGGAGGAGGAGGAGGAGGAGGAGGAGGAGGACGAGGGAGGGGAGAATAATAATATCATGAAGAAGAAGAAGGAGGAAAAGGAGGAAACATTTTTGGATTCCCAGATCCCAGTCTGCTTCCAGCGCCTTCCTGCTTCAAATCGTCGGCGTGCTTTTGCTGTGTGTTGTTGTTCTCCGGGGGGGGGCCTGGACCCACTGCACTCTGTCCGCCTTCCTACTTCATGTTTCTGCCTGCTTCTTCCGACCGACGCGTAGGCTTTTTGGGTAAATAACATCGGTGTTTTTTGAGTTCAATAAACCAGTTTTTTGATTTTTAAAAGCATGGTTTTTGAAGTCAGAAACATTGATTGCTTTCTGACGTCAAAACCAGTTGTGTTTGCCTTCAGACGGCCAGGCTTCCCAGAAGGCCGCCCAGCTTCTGCCAAGGAGCCTGCAGACACGTCCGCGCAGTTCCAGGAGGGCCCCCGCCTGCTCAGATGCCCCCCGCCTTCGTTCAGGAGGGAGAAAAACACACAGACACAATTCATCGTCGATTCCCCCGAAAATATTGGAAACTATGGGAAGTGGGGGGGAAGACAAAAACCCAGAAAATATGGGAAAATATGGGGAATCTTTTTATTTGTGTGTATTTATTTGTGTGTCCTGGGGCCCCTTCATTCGTGGAGGTCCCCCTTCCCTCCGCTCCCTCTGCGCGCCGCCAGGCCCGAGGGTCGGCCCTCGCGGGGTCTGCTGGGCTCTCGCTGGCCCGATGCGATCCGATTCCGATGCTGGGCGATCTTGGGGCGGGGAGAAGTCGGAAATCTCAGGCACGCGCAGAGGGGTGTGGGGGGAGGGGGGAGGGCTTCTTAGAAGCACCCCTGCTTCTTAGAAGGCGCGGGCCTCATCTATAGATGCAAGGCCGGCGCCTTCTAAGAAGCAGCCTCCTTCTAAGAAGCCCTTCCCCCTCCCCCCACCCCCTTGTACGCGCCGCCAGAAATCGCTCCAGAGCGTTCTGGAACTGGCCCGGAATCGCATCGGACCGAACCAACTCGAGCCCCAGAGCTCTGGCGTCGTGGTTGCCCCCGTGGGCCTGCTGCGTGCTGGCCAGCACTCTCGCACGGGGGCGGATCACCCGAGAAAGCTCCGAGGTCGTGATGCTTCACGGTGCGAATCCCCGGAGGCATGGACCCTTTCTCCCCAGGGCAGAATTTTTGTATCCCCCGAGCTATGTCCTGACCGGCCCGTAAGTCGGGCGTGCCCCTGTACAGGGAGAATACTCAAAAATGCTTAAAAATGAGGCAGGGGACGCTCTCCTACAATGTCTGGATTTTTTTTTCGTCCACGATCCGCCTGCAGGGGGGACTTGCCCGATCTGAGCATGGACCCTCTTCAGAGCCCCGAATCATCAGGGGTAACTCGGGTCAGGGATACCTCGGGTTCGTTCTTCGGGAATCCAAACCCGAGTTACCCCGGACCCGAGTTACCCGGGATAACTCGGGCGCCCAGAGCCCCGAATCATCAGGGGTAACTCGGGTCAGGGGTAACTCGGGTTCCTGTTTCGGGAATCCAAACCCGACTTACCCCGGACCCGAGATACCCCGGATAACTCGGGCGCCCAGAGCCCCGAATCATCAGGGGTAACTCGGGTCAGGGGTAACTCGGGTTCCTGTTTCGGGAATCCAAACCCGACTTACCCCGGACCCGAGTTACCCCGGATAACTCGGGCGCCCAGAGCCCCGAATCATCAGGGGTAACTCGGGTCAGGGTAACTCGGGTTCTTTTTCGGGAATCCAAACCCGACTTACCCCGGACCCGAGTTACCCCGGATAACTCGGGCGCCCAGAGCCCCGAATCATCAGGGGTAACTCGGGTCAGGGGTAACTCGGGTTCCTGTTTCGGGAATCCAAACCCGACTTACCCCAGACCCGAGTTACCCCAGGGCAGAATTGTTTCCTTCCCCGAGCTGGTTCCTGGCCGGCCCAGGGCCCGGTGAGGGCCCCCGTCACACGGAGGCCGCAGAGGGGCGAGGCGCCCCTCGCCGTGGCGTGTCTCGCGGCGGCGAGGGCGCGTCCTCCTCCCCTCCTCTCTCCTCCTCCTCCTCCTCCTCCTCCTCCTCCCGCTCCTCCTCCTCCCTCTCCTCCTCCTCTCCTCTCCTCCCCTCCTCTCCTCCTCCTCCTCCTCCTCCTCCTCCTCCTCCTCCTCCTCCTCCTCCTCCTCCTCCCCCTCCTCCTCCTCCCCAAGAAGGGGCCCACTGAGCGCTCGGGGCGCTCGGTTGCAGTGGGGTGGTGCTCTTGGCATCGCTCGGACGTGTGCCTTTTTCCTTCGGCGAGGACCATCGAGGAGCATCCTCGATCCTTTGGCGAAACTGCACAGGAAATGGACGTCCGAGCGATGGCCAGTGCTGGGGTGGAGGCTACGAAGAAAGCGGAGGGAGCTTCTGAGAATCGACGAAGATACGATGCCAAAAACATTTTTTTTTGTTTTTTTTTTTTTGCGCTCCGTGTGGATTTCTTGGATCCGCGCTGGGCCCCCCCGGCGGCGCATCCTCCAGCGCCGCCCCTGGCGCGCTCCGCGCGCCAGGGAGTGGGATCCAGTGCAGATCCAAGAAATCCGCGCGGAGCGCCACCAGTTTATGGTTACGTATGGCGTTTTTTTCCTTCTTCTAGAGAAGGCGGGTGTCTTGTCAGGAGGCCCTGGACGCTTCAAAGACGGCTGCTTCGAAGCCTGGCGGCCTGCTATCGAAGCCCCCTTCGGACTTCTCAGAAGCCCCCCCCCTTGCGCCGCCCCCTTGTGGGCCATCGGGCCTTTCCTCCGCCCACCCGCGCCCGTCTTTGCAGCAGGGCTCGACCTGAGCCCCAAGCGGTGCTCTCCGTTCTTGGTTTGTCTTCGTTCGCCCTCGTTCTGCCTTCGCCCCGCCTGTGCTGCACAGCGAACTCGAGCCGAAACTGGCCACCGACATCTTCGAAACACCGTTTAGGCTCAAGTCGGGCCTGTCCCTCTGCAGGAGGACTGTTCGATGATTGCGATTATTTGTGTGTAGCCATCTTTGAACATTTTTAATTTCAATATATATATATATATAGTTTTTCGTTTGTTATGCAATATTTCCTCCAACTCACCACCCACCAAACCACCCCAACCCAACCCGAAGCCCTCAATTTGCCCTCCATTTCCAGTGGGGGGGGGTCGGGGAACGTTGAAAAAACACATGGAACCCGTACCCCCCCCAACCCGAAATTGGGGTCAAATTCGGGTCTTCGGGTTGGGTTGGGGTGGTCTGGTAGGTAGTCACCAACATCTGCCTGTAGGGGGACATGCCCGACCCAAGCGTAGGTCGAGCCCCGCTCTGCAGCCCCTGCCAGGGCTGAACTCCTTCGTGGCCGAGCGGTGGCTGGCGGACCTGGGCCTCCCCGAGCAGGACGGGGCGGTGCTCTCTCTCGGGAGGAGGGGGAGGAGGAGGGGGAGGAGGAGGAGGGGGAGGAGGAGGAGGGGGGAGGAGGAGGGGGAGGAGGAGGAGGAGGAGGAGGAGGAGGAGGAGGAGGCGGGGGAGGAGGAGGAGGAGGAGGGGGAGGAGGAGGAGCAGGAGGAGGAGGAGGAGGAGGAGGAGGAGGAGGCGGAGGAGGAGGAGGAGGAGGCGGAGGAGGAGGAGGAGGAGGAGGGGGGAGGGGGAGGGGAGGGGGAGGAGGGAGGGGGAGGAGGAGGAGGAGGAGGAGGAGGAGGAGGAGGATGAGGCGGAGGAGGAGGCGGAGGCGGCGGAGGAGGAGGAGGAGGAGGAGGAGGAGGAGGAGGAGGAGGAGGAGGAGGAGGAGGAGGAGGAGGAGGATCAGGGGGCTGCCTTTTCCAGGGCCGAGGTCTCCGTTGAACATGCCTTGTTGCTGTTGATGGCGACACGGTGCCTATGCCGTTGACGCCCTCGGCCGAAGGCCGAGAAAGTAGTCCGAGGTGTGGAAGATTCCGGCCACGCAAAACGTAGCCGGAGTAAAAAACCAAAGCCAGGCAGGGCGACCAGCAGCTGAGGAGGAGACTACTGGCCGCCGCACTGGTCCTGGCCCCCGTCTGTGTGCCAGGGGGGAAGAACGTCCCCTTCCGAGTCGGAGGCGGTGGCCACGTCGCCAACCGCAGTCAGTGAGATCAGTTGTCATACTGAAAAGTCATGTAAGGGACAAGCTTCGGTGCCAGTGGGAATTAGCTTCGGGCGAGCCCCCAGAGAAGAGGATGACGACGAGCAGGACCCCCCGCAACACGCGGCACCTCCCTTCCCAGCCGCAACCCCACGCGAGCCGCCTCGGCAGACAGCCATGGCGGGTTCCGCGCACCTTATGCCCAGGCTCCCCCCCCCGGAAGGGAGCCAGCAATCAGGTGTCGGCAGAAATCGCACACCAATGCCATAAGCCGAAGCAGGGCGCAGGGAGGACAAGAAGCGTCAAGGTACCCCGTGCGCAAAGGAGCCCGGCGCGCCGCACGCCCCCTGCCCCAGGGGCCTGGGATCCCAACACCAGAGTCTAAACGGCAGGCCCTCCTCTGGCCGCCGGCGACAGGGCAAAACCACCGTCCGTGCAGGCCCCTGCCCCGCAGTGGCGGCAAGGGCCGTCTCCGCATGCCGCAGGGCGGCTCTGTAGACGCCGCGCAGCGCACGGCCCTGGCCTTCTGGAGGGGCGTAGGGGGCTGGGGCACCGGCGTGCCTGCCCGCGGCCGCTCCGCTTGCGCCGAACAGCCGCACGTCCCGGCTGCCGCAGGACGTCCCCGTTGAACGATTGAGAGGAAGCGCAGGCATGGATCGAGGCTCGCGGATCAGCGACGGGTCCCGCAATTAATCGGCGCGTTCCGTCGCCAAATCGGGCGGTTGCCGGCCTCATGTTTGGGGGGTTACCCTCCCCGATCCATGGATTTGGTGCCTGCGCGCCCGATCCACGGATCCGCAATCCATCTTAGCGCGTGCCCGAGTGAACAGAGACGCCCTCCAGAAGGCGGTCAAAGCCCTTCGGGAAGATCATCATCACCACCACCACCACCACCACCACCATCATCATCATCATCATCATCATCATCAGCATCAGCGTCAGCATCAGCATCAACATCAGCATCAGCGTTATCACCGCCATCATTATCACCACCATCGTCATCATGACCAGCCTCATCATCATCATCATCACCATCATCATCACCATTATCATCATCACCATCATCATCATCAACATCCTCATCATCATCACTATCATCATCACCATCATCACCACCATCATCTCCATCATCATCACCATCATCATCATCATCATGTTCATCTTCATGATCATCATCATCGCCATCATCATTCTTATCATTATCATTAGGTCGTGCAGAGGAGGCAAAGCGTTGACCCGGCGCGGGATATTCGAAGTTCAGCGAAAGTGTGACATGAAGACGAAAAGGAAATACGAATGTGAGTCGCCCGAAAAGTGGAAATATGAAAAAAGTACGGAAACATATGAAAAAAGTATGGGGGGAAATGGGATTATGAAACAAGTATGAAAAAGTATTGGGGAACATGGAAGTATGAAACAAGTATGGAACAGGTACGGAACATATCACGGGAAATGAGAGTATACAAACAATGAAGAGGTGTGTGTGGGGGGTGCAGAACCGCGAAAAAATGAAAAACATGACACGCGCATGGAATCATTGCACAAGTGCGAGACACGCGTGGAACAGCAAGTCGCCTCCGGGAGCCCCGGCGACGGGCCCGATCGCGTGGAAACCGTATGGTTTGACGTTGGCCCTGAACGGTGACCGACTGGATTTTGAAGTTAACAATGGTGTGCGTGAATGGAGTCTGTGGTGGGCAACACAGAACTCCTTGCGCGCGCGCCCGCGCGCGCTCGGAGAGTTCTGTATTGCCCATAATGGGAAAGTCTCCATGTTGGCCTGGCAGTTAAAGTGGGCCCTTAACGGCGACCGATTGGATTTGAAGTTAATCCGGGTGTGCGTGAATGGAATCTGCGATGGGCAACGCAGAACTCCTTTCGCGCGCGCGCGCTCGGAGGGTTCTGTTTTGTCCACCATCGAAAAGTCGCGAAAGTACAGTCAATCCATGACGGTGACCGATTCGATTTTGAAGTTAACATGTGGTGACGTGAACGGAGTCGGGCATGGGCACCACGCGCTCGCGCTGCGGCCTGTTTCGATCACAGTGGAAAAGTCGCCATGTTGGCCTGGAAATTAAAGTGGGCCCTTAACGGTGACCGACTGGACCTCGAAGTTTACCGGGTGTGCTTGAATGGAATCTGGATTGGGCAACGCAGAACTCCTTTCGCGCGCGCGCGCTCGGCGTGTTCTGTGTATTGTCCACAATGGAAAAGTCGCCATGTTGGCCCGGAAAGCAAAATGAGCCCTTAACGGTGACCGATTGGATTTTGAAGTTAACGTGTGATGACGTGAAAAAGAGTTGGGCATGGGCAACACACGCGCGCGTTGCGGCCTGTTTTGTCAACAGTGGACAATTAAAGTGGACCCTTAACGGTGACCCGTTGGACTTTGAAGTTAACCCGCGTGCGTGAATTGAATCTGTGATGGGCAACGCAGAACTCCATTCGCGCGCTCGGCGAGTTCTGTATTGCACACAGGAAAAGTCGCCTTGTCGGCCTGACGGTGACCGACTTGATTTTGAAATTAACATGTGGGGGCGTGAATGGAGTCGGGCATGGGCAACGCGCGCGCGCTGCGGTTGCTTTGTCCACAATGGAGAAGTCGCCAGGTTGCCTGGGCAACTAAAGTGGACCCTTAACGGTGACCGAATGGATTTTGAAGTTAAGCTGGGTGTGCGTGAATGGAATCTGCGCGGGGCAACGCAGAACTCCTTTCGCGCGCGCGCTCGGCGGGTTCGGTGTGTCGCCATTTTGTCCGGGAAAGCAAAGTGAACCCTTAACGGTGACCGATTGGATTTTGAAGTTAACATGTGGTGACGCGAGTGGAGTCGGCGGGCGGCGGCGGGCCCCATGCTCAGGTTAGAGAAATGCGCTGCCTAAGCCATCCCCAGAGGAGCCGCCAAAGCCAGTGCAGCACTGCATTCCCGCCTGCGGTAATGTAGTTCCGCACTGCAGTAATCCCACTTCCGCGCTTCGTCGCGGAGGCCGGCGTGGCCGTCCAGAAGTATTGCTGCGCGAGTCCGCTGGTCTTCTGCCATGGGAAAACCTGTCATTCGACAAGTTGATGATGATCATTCTTCCGGTGGCGACCTTCCCGAGAGATGAGCTATGCTGCTTCCAATCATGATGCGCGCCAGCTCGCCACTAATCTTCGCTTGAGTTTCCGCCGATTTGGCGCGACGGGCGTTGAGCCGACAACCGGCAGCTTTCGACAAGCCTGGGTCGCGACGCCATTGTGGCGATGGCCGGGCGTTGGCAGGAGCCCCGCGCCGCGATCCCGCGCAGCGCGCGGGCGAATTTCTGGGCGACGCGGGCGGCGTTTGTCGCGGAGCGGGGGGGGGGGCAGTGATTGCGGCCGTGAGGGCGCGCCCCTCGGCAGGCGCGCGCTCGGCGCGCGCGCGCGTTTCCGCCGGGGGCGCGGGCCCGGCGCGCGTCGTTGTCTCTTTCCCCGAAAACTGCAGCGCGCGCTTCATTCCATCGTCGGCGGAAGCCGACCGATTTTCTGCGTGTGCAATTTGCCGGGCGTTGGCGAACCAGGCCCGCGCCCCGCGCCCCGCGGGCCCGCCAGGCCGCGCCGCGCACGGGCGCGATGCGCGTGGGCGTCGCGCAGGGTGGTGGGCGGCCGGGGCGAGGCGTGGCGGGGGCTCCGCCCCCGCTTTCGCTTCTTTTTCGAATCTTGCCGCCCGACGCTTGGCGCCACTCGCCAATGGCCCAGTGCGTGGGCGAGCCGCGGGCCGAAGGCCGCCGCCGAAGCGACGCTTTTCTACATTTCTCACACTTCCAAATCGGCCACACTTTGTTCAAACTTTTTTTTCAAACTTTTTCCATGTTTTCAAGCTTTTCAAACTTGTGTCAAACTTTTTCAAACTTTTTTCGAACTTTTTTTTTCAAACTTCTTTCAAACTTCCAAGTCGACCCGAACTTTTTCCCACATTTTTTTTCAAACTTTGTTCATTTTTCTTTCAACTTCTAAATTCGGGCCAACTTTTTCAAACTGTTTTCAAATCCGCAAGGGCTTCGCCCCCTGCCGCCGGCCCCGTCTCTCGGAGAATGGGTCATGGAAGAGCTAAGTCATGAGGCCTTGGCGCTGTCGTGAAGCAGTATCGAAACTTCATGCGAAGCCGAGTCGCAATCAGCAAAACCAACTGATCACAAGAGGGGTTACCACACCTGGCGATTGGTAAGACGTGTATGGTTTAAGGGCTTGGTTGCCACACCTTGCGATGAAAGGGCCGAGGGAGTTCTCGCAGTTTGAGTTACCACGCCTTGCGATGGATGTGCGTGATGGGTTCGAATT